CGAGTCGGCCCCGACTCATAGCGACCCCTCCTTGGGTTTCCGAGGCAGTATCACTACGGAAGTAGGATTGCCCAACCTTCCTTCCGAGGAGTGGCTAGTGGGTTTGAACCACCAGCCGTCTGGTTAGCAGGCAAGTGTCTTAGCCACTATGCTACCAGAGAGCAGCACTAGAGGTAACCAAAACAAGTTGATTTCTATCTGCCTGGAAGAACAGAGGAAGAAGGAGACTCAGGAATAGGAGGATGATAGGGAACGTGTGTCTAACTGCCTCCGTGAACAACTGCCTCCTTTGCCATGAGATCAGAACTGAATAGAACCCAGCTAACATTACCGAACATTTTGATAAAAGATTCTCTAGAAGAATCCTTATCAAAGGGGGACAAACACAGAACAGAATTTTAAATTCTCACAGACTCTGTACTTGAAAGCAGGTTTCCCACATGGGTGTCCTTGTGTTCCAGGGCACCACAAAAATTAATACTTTCAATTGGTCCAAGGTCTATAAACTAAGCATCAGGATGAAAAGATTTCTTATTAAACTCCACCCAGAGGTACCTGGACCTTACTTACCAGGATACATAAGGATTTTGGGTGGTTGGTATGCATGAAGGTCGGATGAACCCCTGGAGCTATTTCCCTGAGACGATCTTTATAAAGGGAGCTCTGGTGGCATAGTGCCTAAGGCATTTGACTGCTAACCAAAAGGCTAATGGTTCAAACCCACCAGCCACTCCTCAGAAGGAAGTTTGAGCAATCTACTTCTGTAGAGATACCGCCTCAGAAACCCAAGGAGGGATCATTATGAGTCAAATCGACTCTGCAGCAGTGAGGTTTTTTTTTTTTTTTTAAATCTGTATAAACTAAACCAAAAATATCCCCTCAAGTCTTCTTAAAACCAAACTATAGTTTAACTTAGCTTGTAAACAACGTCTGCTTGAGCATTATGGTCTTTTAAGGACTATCTATATGAGATCAAATTGAGGACAGCAATTCAAAAGATTAGATAGGAACCCTAGGGTGTGGTGAATTTATGTTAATGGGAGAAGAACAACTCAGAAAAAGGAAGATGAGAATGGTCGCACAACTTGAAGAATGTAATTAGTATCACTAAATGGTACAAGTAGAAACTGTTGAATTGGTATATGTTTGCTGTGTATTGTCTCAATAACAACAACAAAATAAATAAAATTATTTAAAAAAAGAGAAGAAAATATGCAACAGATGGATTCAGCCATGTTATAAAACAGTTTAAGCCTTTCCCAATATAGCATTGTTGTTGTTGTTATATGCCGTCGAGTCAGACCCAACTCATAGTGACCCCTTTTTGGGTTTCTGAGGCAGTATCACTACAGAAGTATATTGCTCCATCTTTCTTCCAAGGAGTGGCTGGTGGATTTGAACCGCCAGCCTTCTGGTTAGCAGTCAAGTGCCTTAGGCACTAAGCTACCAGAGCTCCCCCAATACAGTATAGGAAGTTAAAATGGATTCTCCTCTCATTGTATTTGCATTGAATAGCTTGACTACTAGCTGAATGGTTGGCAGTCTGAACCCACCCAGAGATGCCTCAGAAGACAGGCCTGGTGGTCTGCTTCTGAAAGCTCACAGCCTTGAAAGCCCTATGGAGTAGAGCTCCTTCCTCTGCACACATAGGGGCACCATTCATCAGAATTGGCTGGACAGCGACTGATGGACAAGACTGGGAAAACTTGTTTAACACATTCACCTCTCACTAGTCCTCTGCCTCCCGAATTATTTAGAAATAAAAATTCTATGATAAAATTCAGATTCTGAGGGGAGAGACAGAAGAATAACAGTAAGATTTGGGGAGAACCTTAAAACCTTTGCAGGGCCCCTGGGTGATCCTGGGTTGTACCCCTCATCATGGCAGTAGTTTTCGTCATCATTGAAAAAACTTAGTCTGTGTTTCAAGAGACCTATTTGTCTTGCTTGGGCACAGCCTTAATTCCTTTATCTGCTCTTGGAAGGAAAAAGCAGATAGATCGTAAGAGCAAGAACTGGATGTCCATCTCCTTGTTCTTCATTCTTCAGGCACACAGATGATGAGACTCACCATGAGCAAAGGGGTCTTGTCTGAAACAACTGGTCAGAGACATTAAGAGGGAGATGGAAGAAGGGAATCTAGATCCCACCTTATGAGTGGCTGCTACTTTCCTGGCAGGACTGTACATGGAGTGACCTCCCTTCCCTTGCACTTCCCTTCTCCCCTCTGTTCGCTCTTTTCTGACCTCCAATTTGGTCTTTGATAGTAAGAGGTCAGTATGTTTTCACACTTGGAAAATCTCATTCAAGAATTTTTGTCAATGGACAAGTCATAAGAAGTCCTTCCATTTTAGGGTTTGCTGACGTCACCAAGGAGGCGATAAATATCTGTTGATATAATTGGATGTGAGATTCAGTGTTGAGATAGCAGAACTTTGCCCCATGCTCTCTGGCAGGGGCCTATGATTTATGCAGGAGCAGAGGCAGCACGCAATCGAGCTGTCAAGAGAGCGTCAGCTTATTAGGCAAATGCTGCGTGGTTTCTGAAGAGGGTCGATGCTATAAAATCCCACTCCAGGCTCTGGTGTGGAGAAACTCGGAGCCCTAGCCCAGAGAGAGACTGAAGAGAGAGAGAGAAGGGAGAAAGAAAAAGAGACTGGGTACAGAGGGAGAAGGGAAGAAAACCTCCTGAGGGGGGCGGAAAAATCCGGAGACATCCCTCTGCAGAGAGGCTGCAGCTGCCGGGCTCACCTGCAGAAGCGCCTCAGAAGGTAGGGAGCGACTAGACCGAAAGGCGCCACCAACTTTGCGTTGCCTGAGTTGCCGCGGTGTGCGCCACGGAGCCAGCTGTCCCTGTGCGGGCGTGTGTACGTGTGCATGTGCGTGTGTGTGTTCGTTGACTGTGCCTCCAGGATTCCGACAGTAGCTGAGATGCAGCAAAAGCAAACTTAGACGGCTGCTCTTCTTTACCTGAACTGCCAGTTAATCCTCCTTGGCTGTAGAGACAAGCCTGCAATCGACCCCGCCTTCCTAGGGATGGCAGAAAGGGTAGGGACCGAGGGAGAGGAGGAGGAGGATGTGGTGCTCATTTGGAGGGAAAATACTGAGATATACGGAAAAGAGGGGTCTGAGCGGGTGAAATCTTAAATCTGTGCCTCTTCTCTAGCGCTCAGGGAATTAGTCTTGAGGATGGGTAGGGAGAGGACTCAGGTACCACACTTTCGGGGGGCTCAGAAGGAGGTGAGACACTCCAGCCTGGCGAGGGGTTGCGACTTGAGGCCGCAGGAGCCCCGTTTCTGCACACCAACGATCCCAACCCCAGAAGTACTCTTTTTTTGCTTCACCTAACAACCCAACCGCCTAAGTCCTGGACCTCGAGCGTCGGCACCGCGGACAGCGCCCGCTCTGGCCCTGGATGCCGCAGGAGCACAGCCTGTCTATCCGCGGAGTGTAGGACTAGACCTTCGAACGCATGTCCTAGTTGAGCTAAACTCTAACCAACTCTTTCTTTCTCTCTTCCCTTCTCTCATTCCTTTCCCCCACCTCTGTGCTGCAGCGAGCGCCCTTAACATGCGGCTACCCCTGCTCGTGTCCGTGGGCGTCCTGCTGATGGCTGTGCTGCCCTGCCCTCCATGCAGGGCCTTCCTCAGCCGAGGACCCTCCCCAGGCGCCAGGCAGATTCCACAGCAGCCCCAGCCCCTGGATTTCTTCCAGCCGCGGCCGCAGCCCGAGCAGCCCCAGCAGTCGCAGCCTCGGCCGGTCCTGCTCCGCATGGGAGAAGAATACTTCCTCCGCCTGGGTAACCTCAACAAGAACCCCGCTGCTCCCCTCTCCCCCTCCTCCTCGCCCCTCGCTGGCGGCAGCCGCCCCTCTCCGGACGAGGCGGCCGCCAACTTTTTCCGCGCGTTGCTGCAGCAGCTGCAGCTGCCCCGGCGCTCCTTCGACAGCTCTGCGCGTCCTGCGGAGCGCGGCGCCGAGAGCGCCATCGGCGTCCACCAGGAGGCAACCGAGAGGAAGAGACGGTCGGAGGAGCCTCCTATCTCACTGGATCTCACCTTCCACCTTCTCCGGGAAGTCTTGGAAATGGCCAGGGCCGAACAGTTAGCGCAGCAAGCTCACAGCAACAGGAAACTGATGGAGATTATTGGGAAATGAAACGGTGCGTGTGGCCAAAGAAATTCTGCATTTAGAACAAAAAAATTAATAAAAATAAATACAGTATTCTGAACCATAGCGCTGCTAATACCATTTGTTTATTTTTATATAGCTTGAAACATAGAGGATGTACAGCGAGAGAGCCTATAACCATTAATTAGCATGCACAAAGTGTAATCACGTTCAGTAACAACAAAAGAAATGTTATCTGTATTGTCTACTTTTAGTTTCCACTTCCAGGTTTCTTTAGTGGTGTTTAACGAGACTGCAGATAAGGGAGGAAACATTTTGGAGAAGCAGACAAAAGTCACCCAAATTGTGGTTTGAGATAAAGAGAATGCTGTTCTCATGATGGGTGGGTGGTGCAAAATCTGTAAGCTCTTTTGAATCAACTTTTTCTTGTAAACATTTCAATAATAAAACATCTTTCCAATCCTTCGTCAATTTGGTTGTGTAAGAGAATGTTGAATATTTATATTTTTAATAAAAGCCGCAAAGATAACCATGACTTCATGTTTCCTCTTAAATGCTCAGGCATGGGAAATGCTTAGCTCCTAGCTTTCTCCAAACTGTCTTCAGCACAAGCAAGCAAGCAACAAACAGACAAAGCCAGAACAAACAAAAACCACAAACAACAACAATAAAAACAACTACCTGCATTTTATTTATTACTATATTTCTAAACAGACAGACATATAATGTCAGTGGCTCACACAGACCTAGTCACCCTGGGTTCATCTCTGTACCTCAGATTGCAATTCCTTTGAGTGTGTTGATTTGGGAAGTTGTTTCCAGCTCTAAGACTTGGTAATTCACTAAATTAAAGATTGGTCCATAATGGAAATATTAAAATCTGATTAGCTATAAGACATAAAATAATTGGGAAAGAGGAGAAGGGTTGAGGCAGAGTATTCCTCCAAAACTTACTGCCAAAATGCCACTTTTTTTTTTTTCTATGAGATTCATTTTATCGGGATACTATTTGGACACCATAAAATGTCTTTTTGCTAAACTATTTCCCAATGCCTACTTGTATTATAAGAAATTCGATATTATTGCCACTTAAAACAACTAAATTTAATTGCTATAAAGTGACACTTGTGATAACTTTTCTTGTAAAAGATATTTTGATTTTTATAACTTCACAAATACCCTCCACATTTATTTATGTCTACGCCAACCTAATCATTTTCTTACCAATATAAACTATTTACTTCTATAATTGAATACTATATCTAATAAGTTTTAGAATGAATATACCTTTAATAGTTTAGTTATATCATAAAACATTCAACCAAATTAAAAATTCAACTTCAAATCTCATTTGGGAAAGAAAAACAACTAATTTGGATATATGAAGAAACTTCTCCCTGAGACACTCTGAATACACTTGACCAGTAGATTCATAAGAAAATTTGAAACATCAAATAAACCACTATAAGGCTACATTTTTAAAAACAGCATTTATTTAAGAATTCATGTAGAGTAGAGTCATATTTATGTTCTGAAGGAGGCCTTATGGTAGGACAATAAAGCTTGACTTAAATATATATGTATATGGGTGGGTGGGGGGTTGTGTGTATGTGTGTGTGTGTACATATATAAGTAAATACATGCAGTTGTTCTCAGTTCCCCACACTGGTTCCTCAGTGGATACATGAAAAAGTAGACAGTTTCCACCAGAAGTTCCTTTTAAATTAAAATGCCTGATAGCTAAATATCTAAAACTAAGAGTACAAAAAAAAAAAAAAAAAAGTCAAGAGAGATGTCCTAGACCTTCACCATCCTGACTATGAAAGTGTCACCAAATTCAAAGAACATTTCTGGATATACATTCAGTGGATCTATAATGGAAAAGATGAAACATTCGTTAAACATTTCATACCTTTGGTCAATGATTTATCTTTTGTCTATGTACTCCTAAATCAGTCACTTCTGAATTAACATTGAATTTCACTGACCACTTGCACTGTTAAAGAGGAAACGGAAAAAGAGTCACCAGTAATAATAAAAAGCCAGTGCCTATTAAAGACAAGAGAGTAGTGCCCACTTTTTTCACTGTTTCAATATCTACCACTTGCTACTGACACAGGCACATACATACCACACCTATAAATCCTTCATAATGTTACAACAACAAAAACAATGTTTCCCACAATAGATTTGCATAAGATCAAGTTTGTTTGTTTTTCCAATGCCATCTGCAACTATTTTCTCAGAATATTTTCTTTCAATGTGTTAGATAAGTCATTTGGAATTGAAGTTTGTGTGTTTTTCCTCCAGAAATCCTGTCCAGAGGTCTATTTCATCATCTGCATCGTATTAATTTCATCTGGATTCCCTGCTGCCTCTGTGCCTCTCAGCCAGACAGATAGAGGGGCAGCAGTTGAATGAACATCATTCACTCAGGGAGTTCAACCAGGAAAAGGAGAAGATGTGGCGAGCTGGCTCAGAATCAGCTTCATCCCTGCTCCCTGAAGCTGCAGCTTGTCCCTGAAGAGAAGGGGCCTCAACTCCAGTCTGTAACAGAAGAAAAAAAGAATTAGAGGATGAGGAGACTAGTCCTTTGCGGTTGGTCCAGCCACTTCTCCACTAAGGAAAAAGGATAATAATAATAATTATATGGCACATAATTATTATCAGGGATGAAAAGCAAGCTCAGGTTATCTTAGCTATGAAAGTGATTCACACTCATGATCCAAAAAGGGGTAAGGATATTGCATGCAATGGAGGAAGTTTCCTGGAAAAAAATTGTCCAGGCTACTGTACTATTTATTTACTCGTAAAAGTCCACTTGTATGACTTACTGAGATGAAAAGCATATTGAAACTAAAAGGAGTTTGGGTTTAGAAAAGCTTGCAGATTTTTTTAAAATCCTAATTAAAATAACAAACACAGTTAAAATGCTATTTTGGGGCTTCCTTCCCAGTCTGTTGTAGTCTGAAATCCCCACCAAAACCTATTCAGCAACACTTAAGCCTCCACTGACAGAAGCGTGGTGCCATTGGCTAGGAATTGAACTCAGGTCTCTGGGATGAGAGGCAAGAATACTACCACTGAACCACTACTCTGTGTGTGTGTGTGTGTGTGTGTGTCCTTAGTATAAGTTTTGCAAAACTGCAGGCTTAGTTTTGAACAAATCATGAAGGCATTAATTTCTCCATGAAATATGGTGGCATACTGCCTAAGGCATTTGACTGCTAACCAGAAGGCTGGTGGTTCAAACCCACCACCCAATCCTTGGAAGGAAGATTGGGCAATCTATTTCCGTAGTGCTACTGCCTGGGGAACCCAAGGAGAGGTCACTATGAGTCGGATCCGACTCGATGACAGTTTTTTGTTTTGTTTTGTTTTTTTTAATGTCAATATTTCTAAAGAGATAGCTACCTTTTATAAATACTTGACAACGATTTTTATTTTCAAGTAACTGATCAACCTAATCTCACAAATGAAACTCATTTATATGGATGTTTTTGGAACTTAATGGAATGCGAAAGAATAATAAAGAAATCTCATTGAAATACATTTTATGTACAAATCAAACTCCTTAAATTTAAAAGCACCATGACAAACATAGTTATTCCCAGGAAAAAACTGAACATAGACAGACATATGCTGATGACTTCACTCCCCCCACCGGATTAGAATTCCGTTGATTTCCAAGCAATGAGGTAGCCACATGCATTCAGCTAAGAGCCCGGATGATTTTATAAGCTGCTATATGAACGTACGGGAGCTCTGGTAGCATAGTGGCTAAGGCACTTGACTGCTAACCAGACGGCTGGCGGTTCAAACCCACTAGCCACTCCTCGGAAGGAAGGTTGGGCAATCCTACTTCCGTAGTGATACTGCCTCGGAAACTCAAGGAGGGGTCGCTATGAGTCAGGTCTGACTCGACGGCACATAACAACAACAACATATGAACGTACAGTGAGTGCCTGCACAGGCAAAACAAAACTTTGGTAAGTATGTTGTTTTGTTGCCACCCACAATAGATTAAGGAGAAAAATGAGTGCTTGGCCTGCACCATCCCAGATTTTACCCTAAATATATGTTTTAGGGGGATGCTTCGAGGCCCATAAAATTATCTCAAGTGTGTATGGCTTTGGGAGCATTATCCTTCTCAGTGCCTTATCTGCTGCCTGATAGAAAGTTAAGAAGGGCCATGAAATCTTACAAGCCACAGTGGAATACACCTATAGCACAGTTTTTGATGAAGTAATAGTTAACAGTGAGCAAAATGTTTTTTTTTTTTTTAAAGAATGTTACTGTATTCTGTTGGGAATCAATTAGATACCTCAATGTCCTTGAAAGTGAGGTGGAATAAACATCAGCCTGACAGAATCCTGTGCATATTTGTAAACTTCAAACTCTTCCTCACTCAGTAATGCTAAAACAACCGAATGATTTGGGTATATCATTGATAAGTATAAAAGACTCTTTTATACTCATTCTATATGTTTTTGCATTGTTTCCTTAAAGAGGGATCCGTGGTGTCACTGTGGTTAAAGCACTCAACTGCTAACCAAAAGTTCAGTGATTTGAACCCATCAGCCTCTCTGCAAGTCACCTATGAAGCAGTCACCTATGAAGCCCACAGCCTTGGAAACCCTATGGGACAGTTCTACTCTGTCCTATAGTGTTGTTATGAGTTGAAATCAACCTGATGGCAGGGGATTTTGGGGTTTCCTTGAAGCCAATTCCTAATCTAGAGGAAAGTTCCAAGGCAACTGTCCTAAAGTAACTATAGAGTAAAAACAGTTTGCTAACCTATTTTCTGTAGACAGATATAATCTTTGGGAAACTGCTGAAGTCTAACAAGCCATTGGAACTGCTCCTGGAATTTGTATGTATTGTTGTGCTTTTCTGTACTAGATCTTAAAACTTGTCTTCCATTGACAACTTAGCTGTTAACAGCCTATAACCTGCAGAATTTCAGATTAAATAGTTATGTTAATAGTTATATTAAATAGTTATAATTAAATCTTTATGTTGCTGGGTAGTTTTTGGATTCTCCTCCAACTATGGACTGATGCCTTTCAGAGAAGAAAGGCAAGTGACATAAAGGGGTCAAGAGGTACTGGGGTTATCCTGAATGTCCTTAAGTGACTGCACCATCTCCTTGGCCTTATTTATTTATATCAACTTTCTGACATACAACCCGTGTTAGCAAGGAAGTTCTATGCTAAGAGGCTTAGCCTGATTTTGAATTCCAGACCAACCACTTACTAGCTGCATAACTTGGACATGCTACTTATCCTCTCTGAGCCTTAGTTTTCTCCCCTATAAACTAGAAATAAGATCCTACTTCATGTTGTTGTTGTTGTTGTTATGTGCTGTCGAGTCGGATCCTACTTCATAAAGTTGTTAAAAAGACGGAATAAGTGATAGGCAGAAAGCATCTTGGACATGCTTCTCTTATGTTACGTGATTTATAAATGTTCATTTCCTTTCTTCATCTTTCTTACATCAGTAAAGAGGATCCATTGCTATGCACAATGATTTGGGAGATTATTTATCATGAGCTATTTACAATATAAAGGAGCTCTGGTAGTATAGTGGTTAAGGCATTTGGCTGTTAACCAAAAGGTTTGTGATTTGAACCCACCAGTTGCTCTGCAGAAGAAAGATGAGACAATCTTCTGTAAAGATTTATAACCTTGGAAACCCAGTGAGTTAGAATGGCTCAATGGCAGTGAATTTGGTTTTAGGACTGGTATTTACAATAGAAGGTGCCCTGGTTGTTCACTCGTTAAGCACTTGGCTCAAATGTCAGCAGTTCAAACCCACCACCCCTCTGTGAGAGAAAGATGTGGCAGTTTGTTTCCATAAAGATTCCAGCTTTGGAAATCCAATGGGGCAATTCTACTCTGTCCTATAGGGTTGCTATGAGTTGGAATTGACTCAATGGCAATGAGTTTGGTTCTGGGGTATTTATAACAGCAATGACCCCAAGTAAGGAAAGACAATTTTATTTGCCATGTTTATCTTTCCAGAAACTAGACATAATTTATATGATTTAATCCCTATAGAATGTTGTAATCTTGGTCATCCATGACCCTGTTCAGTGTTAGTTCTAAGTAGGCCAAATTTATATGAATCAGAATTGACTCAATGGCACTGAGTTTGGATTAGTTTTAGTAACTTGTAAAGGAAGGAGCCCTGGTGGCACAAAGGTTAAGTGCTTGGGTGCTAACCAAAAAGTTGGTGATTTAAGCCCACTCAGTGGCTCTGTGGGAGAAAGCCCTGCTGATTTGCTCTCATAAAGATTACAGCTTAGAAAACTCTATGGGGGAATTTTACTTTGTCACATGAGATTGCTATGACTTAACGGCATCTAGCAACAACAACCCGTAAAGGAAGAAAGAGTTGAAGATTGAGAAACTTCCTTTCCATAAACTGTTGTTGTTGTTGTTGTTGTTATGTGCCGTCGAGTTGGACCCGACTCATAGCGACCCCTCCTTGGGTTTCCAAGGCAGTATCACTACGGAAGTAGATTGCCCCATCTTCCTTCCTAGGAGTGGCTGGTGGGTTTGAACTGCCACCCTTCTGGTTAGCAGTCAAGTGCCTTAGACACTATGCTACCAGAGCTCCCTTTCCATAAGCACAACCCATCAAATCAAAAACAGACAACTATCTTATTGTCACCGTTGTTAGTTGCCGTCAAGTAAGTTCTGACTCAGAGCAACCCCAAGTATAACGGAACAAAAATACTCCTCGGTCCTTTGCCATCCTCACAGTCATTGCTGTGCTTGAGCCCATCCTTGCAGCCACTGTGTCAACCCTTATTGAGGGGGTCTTCCCCTTTTTTGCTTCCCCTGTACTTTACCAATCACGATATGCTTCTCCAGGGACTGGTCTCTTCTGATAACATGACCAATGTGCGAGAAACGAAGTCTAGTCATGCTCACTTCTAAGGATCATTCTGGCTGCACTGCTTCCAAGACAAGTTTGTTCATTCTTCCGGCAGTCTGTGGTGTTTTCACTGTTCTTTGCTGACACCACAATTCATACCCATCGCTTCTTCTATAGAAGAATTTCCTATAGCTTTTCCCAAATAGAACTACATGTGTGTGTATATGTGTGTGTGCGCACACGTGTGTGTGTGTGTGTGTGTATCTTCAAATAGTTTTCTAAATTAGTGGGAGGGGATGATTTTTGGCTCTTTTCCATCACATGAAATGCTACTTCTTGGGAGTATCAATGTACCATGAAGCTGAATGAAGGACAGAGAATGACTAGCACTGATCTGCCCTTGCTTTTGAGCTTGTCCTGGATTCCAGTTTAGTTTGAGAGAAAAAGAAAGGTGGACAAAAAATGGTGGTCTCATATTATTCCTAAACTTTTCATATTTTCTTCAAGTGACAACTCAAAGAACATCATCATTTAACACTGTGCTGTATCATTATGGGGCTTTAAATAACTTGACAAAAATGATTTTCAATCATAAAATAAAACTAGGAACAGAATAAGGAGAAGCATTTCCCTCAATGTCTCTGCTATCAGGGAGGTCCAATTTT